TAATAATAATAATAATAAACTACAACACACTGAGAGCGATTTTAAATCACCGTGGAGGTTGTGTGTCAACGTTTCGCTTATTACGCCGCATTCTGAGTGTCTTTGCTATTGCTGTCAAGAGCCACGGAAGAGTTTGTGAAAAGGAAAAGGAAGCTGGTGTCATGGCTGACGGCTGTCCATTTCGAAAAGAATCCGACTCATATCATACAACAATTTTGAGATGCTGCACAGCGGGATGTATTCTGGCAGTCTAAAGCCTGCTGAACGCAGACGGGAAATATGAAAGAGTTGGTGTTGATTACCTTAAAAAGAAGGTTGTTTTCAAACCCCTTTCGCTGCCAAGAGCGAAATGCTAGCTGCTAAAGGGATTTGAAAACAACCTTTAAAAGAAAATAATCTTTATCACTACTCAAGAACTGTTCACTATTCTAGTGTTTAAAAATCTATTGTTTGGTGAACAACAAAAAGCCGCTCGCTATTCTAGTGTTAAAAAATCTGTTGTTTAGTGAACAACAGAGGTAAAACCTCTGGCTATTCCAGTGTCCTCCCACCAAAAAAAAACCAACAACCCCATAAAGGCTAATCACCGCAACGAAACTTCTGATGGCACCCCCCCCCCCCCCCACCCACACACACACACCTTTTGATTAATATTTTACATAATTTTTCAATAGATTGGTGGCTTGCTGCATGGTTGATGTTCATTAATATGGAATCATTTGACAGTTAATTTTCTACATTTCTCATTTTCACAGACATAAAATTAATTCTGCTATCACACTAAGATTTGAAACATTCCCCTTAAATGTGATATTGGAAATTCACAGAAACTCTTTCCACCTGTTTTTCTCAGCTACATGCTTTGCATAGTTCATAATCTAAAACATCCTTTACTTTAGCACTTTTTAAAGCTATAAATCAGGACATGAAGCAAAGTGAAAGGGTTCTCATAAGGCAGCGTCAGTTTAAAATGCGATATGCATAACGACAATATACCTCATTTTCTTAGAACACCACTCATCTTGCAGTAGACATCTTAAGTACCCCGTTATACCGCCAGCACCATCGCACCACTAACGTCTTGCTCGTCCCAAGATGGGTGGTATAGCGATGATTGACAGTATTACGGATTTGTATCGTCATATATTTGGAACAAAGCAGGTTTATGTTTGGGTTTTTATTGGCCAAAGTTGGAATGGGGGGGGGGGGACTCAATGATTCAATGATTTTCTAAGTTTCTTCTTTTAGCCTTAAATACTTTAAAACACAGACTTTGTGAGTGGTTGGCGGGTGCTCTGGTGTGGTTTGTTCCTTCTTTCTCATCGAACATCTATAATCCTTATCTCCCCTTGTTCTTTTTTATGTTTGTTACTCTCTTGTAACACCTCTAAACCTCTGACGCTCATATGGCCTTATGCAGTTGCGAACGCCGTAAAACCTCTACTAAAACTAAATAAAAAACACAGACTTTGTTTCCAAGCAACATGTGCTCATTATGTATGTCCTGTTTAACGAGTTTGTATTTGTATTGCTTTCACAGGTGCATGTTCACTATAATTTTGCATTCTACAGAAGCCGTGATTTCCTTGATCCTATGCCGGTGAGTTGGTACAAGTATCATGTAGATTTACGTTTATTGAACATCGCATTCAGTGAACTCGTCTTGTCTGACTGTCACCTTCACAGAAGCAAAATTATTGGTAAAATCATGGTCCAGTAAGCAGCCATTTTCTCTCTAAAATTGTCTCTCTAAAACTTTGCATTGAAGAAGGTGGGTGCTGCCTGGTTACCTCTGAAACCAGGTGGCCCTCACCTTCTTCAATTCAAAATGTCTCGACTTCTATTAAGACAAAAGGTTTTTTTTTAAAACAAAAAGCAAGACAAATGAACAAATTAAGGTGATACCAAGGACTACTATACTTGAGTATTGTAGTCCTTGGGTGATACCAATAACTCCATATGCCCAAATATTGACGAGTGTCTGATTCCACCATGTCGTGACATTAACATTTTTTTAACCCTCGTTATACTTCTGTTATCATATATAGTTTTTAAAAGAGGAACCTTTACTTTTCTTTAATCCCAACATACGTGTCTGGATAGGTAGCTAAGATCACGACTGCAATTGTTGAAAACCAAAGCGATGTCTACACAGCTGAGGTTAGGCGCTTTGCTGACCCACGTTGAAGACCCGAGTTTGATTCCCGTGGGAGAAGATTTTATATAGAGTAAGTCTGTCAGCTGGGAATTTGGATCGCATTCTGTCCAAGTAGGTCTTATCAGGCAATGTCAACGCCCTCCTCCTCCATGATCTAAATTGTGCCGATTGGAGCGTAAAAAACCCCTACATTTAATAATGTTTTAAAAAATTAACATTACTATGAAGGGCTAAAATTCCAAACACTGCACCAGTGTTCATCTTGATTTATTCTTTTCCAAAATTTGGTTCTGATTCCGGCGAGTGTGATAAATCAAACGGAAATGAACAGTTAGTGGTTTGTCAAATGAATGGGACTCAAGAGGAAATCAACGTTGTTCAGATGTTCGCCATAATGAAGTAACGTCAGATGTAACAGTTCTTCATAATGAAGTACTGTAAAGTCATATGTAACAGTTCGTCATAATGAAGTAACGTCAGATGAAACAGTTCGTCATAATGAAGTAAAGTTTGCTGGACTTCCCTTAAGAGATGTTGTCAACCAATGTACGTTGCTCCATTTAGGAATTCAGTCTGAACGAGACAAGCAAAGCACCTCCATTATTATGTGATTGATTACATCCTGCAGGAAAACAGAAATTTATTACACACAGTCTTACACGCATATGCAAAATCGGCGGCACGCGGAAATCTTTTTGTCATGTAAGAATTTCACCGTGTTCTTGTCTTAAATACTGTGCGAGAAATAATATGGCTTGAGTGAGAAGACAACCTGTTCGCTACCCCGTGCGTTTTTCGCTATGTGTGTGTTCACTGACGTGCATGTTTCGCTATGTGTGTGTTCACTGACGTGCGTGTTTCGCTATGTGTGTGTTCACTGACGTGCGTTTTTCGCTATGTGTGTGTTCACTGACGTGCATGTTTCGCTACGTGTGTGTTCACTGACGTGCATGTTTCGCTATGTGTGTGTTCACTGACGTGCACGTTTCGCTATGTGTGTGTTCACTGACGTGCATGTTTCGCTATGTGTGTGTTCACTGACGTGCATGTTTCGCTATGTGTGTGTTCACTGACGTGCGTGTTTCGCTATGTGTGTGTTCACTGACGTGCACGCTTCGCTATGTGTGCATTCACTGATGTGCGTGTTTCGCAATGTGTGTGTTCCCTACGACGTGCGTGTTTCGCTATGTGTGTGTTCATTGCGTGCCTGCTAGATTGCAGAAAGTTCTGATATTTAAAAATGAGAGATGAAATGAATTATGCAATGTTTAACAATGTTTATATAAATGTAAGGGTAATTTTTTTAAAATTTTGTTTTATTAAGAGCTTTACGGCACTTAAAACTAAATTAGGCTATATAAGTGCTGGAGATTAGACGTGTGACATGAGAGTAACAAACACAAAACAGAAAGAGGAGAGATAAGAACAATAGATATTTGATATGAAAGTATGAGCAAACCTCACGTGAGCAACCGCTAACCTCCCACTTTTAAAGTAAGTCCTTAACACTGGCGTCTAAATCTGAAAGGATCAACCTCTTTATACCTATTCCCTGTGAGCGTTTGGTGGGTGCTCTGGTACCGTTTGCTCCTTTCCGCCCATCAAACGTCCCTCGGCCTGATCTCTCTTCCATCATTTTTTAGTTTATACTCTTTTGTTACACATCAAATCTTCAGCACTTATATCACTGACGTTCAAAAGAAGCTTTAAAAAGTATTCACCCTACCGTCATGTTTAAGCCTTACCCTACCCATCGTACAGCACACGATATTAAATTCTGCTTCACCTGGTACTTTAATATCTCATCTACCATAATGGTCGCCCGAGATATGGTCACTCAAAATTAACCTTAAAAAATCAGGAGGTGCAAAATTGCAAGAAAATTAAAGAAACTTTAAAATGTGTTCTCGCCTGTATTGGGGTGCATCATCACAGGTGAGATGCATTTGTATTGCATATCAAAATGAATGGAAAATTTTGTCTTTGCAATAAATAAAATTTTATTACGGTAGTTTTAAACAGATCGGAAAAAGAGCTATGACGAATACTACACAAATTCTGGACTTAACATTAACTGTTTTCATGAGTATTTCATTTTGTTTTGGAGCTACTGGTTTTAGTTTAGTTTAAGTAAGAGTTTTACGCCACTTGCAACACAATAAGGTCATATAAATGCTGAAGATTAGAGGTGTTACAAGAGAGTAACAAACACAAAACAGAAGGAGGAGAGATTAGGGCGATAGATCTTTGACAGGAAGGAAGGAGCAAACCACTCCAGCTACTGGTTTTGTAAAGAGCACAAACCCTTTGGGCATAGAATGTCGTGTTATTACGGACATAGTTATCTGTCAGTCCATCCCAAATGTCACAGATACTAGCAAACAAGGCGTTTGAATTGGGAGAAAAAGTGTTTCTTCAGTTTGTGTGTGTGTGTGTGTGTGTGTGTGTGTGTGTGTGTGTGTGTGTGTGTGTGGGAGGGGGGGAGTTGCGTTTAACTGTTACTGTATCTGTTGGATTCATATCGGAACCAATCAACAGGTGACCACTTCATCGTTGGTTTGATTTGTTTCGTAAGATTTGTCTCGGTTAAAATTCGTGGAGCGACTTATCTTTAAATATCTTTATAACGGATGAATCAATGTCACCCATAATTTGCCCAGCAGTTTGTCTCAATTAATCTTAACTTAATCATATTTTCCTAGAACAATTGGGGCTAGATTAAAAACCTTTTCTTCATAAAGCTATATATAATACTACAAACCTCCTTCATGCAGAAAATAGAATTGTTCACAACTCTTCCCGCTTCTCACAAATATTTTGTATACGCATATGACTTACGTCACAGCTCACCAAAGACATTTTTTAGTGGCAAAACTATCTGCATGAAACTTATTTCATAGTGAACACTGAAAGTTCTCAATAAAGGTAATCTCGCGATTAAAACAAAAATGACGGACTTGCTTTTAAAAGTGATATCGCCCCACCTGTAAACCTTTTAAAATCAGTAGAAACCACCTGCTAGGATTTTTTGAAATTAGTATTTGTTGAGGAATTTTCTAGAATAAAGCTAACAGGGTCTTTTCAAAAATATTGATCTGTTAAGACAAATTGGAACGAGTCACTGTGCAAAAGCTGGACAGTTTACTTTCGATAGTTGAGGAGACATTTGACAATAAGTTGCGCCTCGAATTTTTGACTGCACTGTGTGGCGTTGACCCTGAGAGAAAGCACTTCATTCATAAATTGCTTTACGGTGAAATCAGACCTTGACGAAAATACTGGTAAGGCGTGATGTGTCAGGATTTGCGCGATGTAGTCCTCCAAACGAAGCCATGTCTTGATTCTCCCAAGTTGTGGGGTTTTGTTCATTCCAGCCAGACCACACCATACTATGGCAGTTTCTTGGCCTCTGTTTCCTCACTGACAGATGAATTTGTCCAAAATCCAACACAGTCCATGTTCAGAAAGGTCTCGTGCTCTACATGGAACTATTGGCTGCTGAACACAATTAATGTTAGGTCCAGGTCTTGCGGGATATTTGTGATAGTTCTGTTTTTTAATCTGCTCGAAAATACCATAACAGGATATATTAATTCATTTCAGATACATTAATAATATTCTCCCTTCATTTTACATTCAATACATGTCCCTAACTCCAATGTTGATGCACCTCAAAACACACGCGAACTCACGTTTCAGTTTCTTTGGTTTCGCACAATTTTGCCACGCCAAATCTTTTTTAAGGTTAATTTTTAGTGACCAAATCTGTGGTGTCTTTTAACGTAGCTGAATACATGTATTAATGTGTCAGATAATACAGAATTTACTTAGCTTTAAACTGGTATACTACTTTAGTCGGTAGTTAAAGGCTTTCACTCGGCGATTGGGTAAATTCATTTTCAAGATTCTTTTGGGCGTCACTGTATACCCTTATCGTGTTGCAAATGCCGTAACACTCTTACAAAACCTAAACTATATAGAGATATACTAGAGAAGCATACATATTTCGTGTTGACGTTACCCAATAGTGTTTTAAGTTATGTAAGTCTGTTGGTTTGTAAACTTATGTGTTCTTTCTCTACACCTCTCTCCCCCCAAACACTGAAGTAAGTCTGTTGGTTTCTAAAGTAATGTGTTCTTCC